AGCTAGAGAACAGAGAATACAGTTATTTAAGTTGATATATATATATATATATATATATATATATATATATATATATATATATATATATATATATATATATATATATATATATATATATATATATATATATAAAACAACCCAACAACCTGTGAACAATAGTACTATAAATATATATCACAATCCAAGCGACTGTCGGCAAACCTATTCCATAGCACCCTACCTCATTTATTTTAATCTCAGTTATTTCCAGTGAATTTTCAAGTTTCTTTTTTTCCATGCACAAACAGTCATAATTAATGAAAATATATTTGTGATATTTGGTACACATAAACAACTAGTATTTATCGATGTTCCTTTTTGTTCTATTTTGTCACGTATACCTTTCTGTAACTTTTGATACGTGACTGTACCTGTATTACGTGCAATTTTTGTTCCTGACTAAATTGTAAATACCTTCTATATTAGATGTCTATTTTTTGCACACGACTGAAAAATCATATTCTAAGATGTTTAGAGTGTAGATTACGTAGGATCTACAAATAGTTGTTGAAGTAGATGTTTATGACCATTATTAATAATTTAAATAGTAAAACCTGCTGACAACTTTGGGGAAATTTCTCATTGGCTAGTGGGATCAGGTGGGTTGGAAAAATTAAGTTATTTTCCATTGGATGGGTTTGGTCACTTGTTTTGTCGTACGTTGTGGGATATTTGTAAAGTGTTAGCAGTAGCGAAATGCGTTCTCACCCCATATGCCAGTATACAAGTCCGTGGAGCTGGACAGTTTAGTTAGTATTATGTTCTTGCTGTAACATCATTCAATATACATATTTAATGGAATTACAATGTGCTCATTGGACTAAAGTATGATTCTGAGAATATTGTGAATTATTCAAAGGAGTTCTGGACAATGCCATTTTGATACATCGGGACTGTTGGCAGACTAATACATTAGAGACTGATGTTTACTTGTAACATTAAATTCTTTTGGTCTTTTTTTTTAAATTTGTAATTTATATGTCCACTGGAATGTACATTTAACCATGTAACATTAACTCTTTGGTTTACCGAGCAAACGTTTCAGTACAACCTCGACAATCTTTGAGCATGCTCGAAAAAAAAAAAACAAACAAAAAAAACAAACAAACAAAACAACAACAATAGTATCATAGATGTGCCTTTTGCTACTGAGAAATCCTCGGCTTTAATACAATCTTTGTCGGATTGGAGATTTGGAGTATTTCAGTGATATGATATTTGATAGGACTGCATCGTGCTGAACTATGATAGAAGCTTATATATATATATATATATATATATATATATATATATATATATATATATATAATAAAAACACAAAAAGTAATTATTATGACTGCATTTTTCTTATATGGCTCAATAGTTATTATTATTATTGTGATATATATATATATATATATATATATATATATATATATATATATATATATATATATATATATATATATATATATAATGAAAATGGGGGAGATGGTTGACTGGCGGCATTCGAGTACAAGACTGCACGCTGAAATACGAATCCTACTTGCTGCCAGTCAGGGTAGGGTCTTGTGCCAGACTGGATAGCAAAAGGTCAAGATGCAGAGAAAAAGAACTCACCGAAGGAGTGGTCACCGTGGTGGTTACGATTGTGTTGAAGAGTATCATGTTAACTTCTTTTTATAATTAATAAATCAGTAACTTCTACGAGTCCTGTAATCAGTGGTGCCAATGTTGGTTTTAGTATGAGTATTGACCAACAAGTAGGTCTCTGCTTTTTTCTTTTTTATATATCCGACAACAGCAGATGTCATATATAAAAAAGTAGAGACCTACTTGTTTTTCTAGTATGGGTACTATGAACAGGTGCACAAATCCTTCGTGTTGTAATAACATCTTTTTCTTTTGTTGGATGGTATTTTCTTTCGGACCATTTGGCGAAGAACGTGTCGAAGCTTGGATGAGCATTCTTCTGATTTTGAGACAAAGGTATCGTTCCTTTCAAGACATTCAGACAATATTCGCAAACAATATCGATGACGTCTTTGGATGCAGTTTGAATGAGTTGTTTTGGCATGGATGAATGTGCTTTGGACTGGACAGACAACACGTCCCAGTGTTTGGAATAAACAAGGAGACAGTCCTTTCCTTTTCTTTCCTTTGGGAGGGGGTAAAGAGGGATGACTTAAGGGGATTGTGTGTGACATCTCTGTTCTTCGGGCACACACAAAATATAAACTGGCGTCGATGACTTGGCCCACGCACTTTTATCGTAACCAGTCTATACATTTCATAGCTATTCACAATCACTTTTGCATATTGATAAGTTGATTGTTTTCCTGTTTAGTTTCTAGTTTTTCACATTGAATAAATCAATACAATACACACTTATGATTTAAAAATGAAAAAACGTGGAAAATGGTTTTAATAATGAAAGTATAGCGCAACAAACAAAAGACCAAAACACAAACGTGTTTGCAAAACTCTACATGGCTATTTCTACCTGAATTAAACCTTTAAATGTATTGTCTCCACCAGCCTTAATCGACTTGTTGCGGATACTGAGAAATATTTGTATTCACCTAGAAATCTGTGAGCCATAGCGACATCTATTACTTTGTGTACATTTATGTAATGCAAATTATATCCCGGATATGTGATTCTATTCCGGATATTCCATTCTTATATTAGTAATTAAAGGATACTAAGAAGATTTAGAAAAGTTTTGGAAAGAAATGGTGTCGACTACAAAGAATAATTTTACCAATGCATAGGACTTTAGTGCATCTGTCTCAATCAATTCCTGACACATGATATCCCTTGCTGGATCCAGTGTGCTTGAAAGGGCTGTTATTCGCCATATGATTTGTATTTTATATATATATATATATATATATATATATATATATATATATATATATATATATATATATATATATATATATATATATATATATATATATATCACATAATGGAGATAATTATGTAGCGCTTGGGCAATGTGGCAGACTACCATTGTGTCATGTGTTACACATTCTTTGTGTTACATATTTGTGTCATTGTTACAAATGGATAGGAGAAAATATCTGGCAGACAACTACAAAATTCTATGATAATTCATGAGAAATACATTATTTAGTTATGGTTTTCACTTTGTATTCATCTCAAAAGATGTTGGTGTATTTTTAACAGCATTTGTTCAGAGTCAAGGACTGACAATTTGATATAATATCACACAGTATTCAAAATGTGTAGTATCAAAATTATTAAAGAGTTAAATGTTGAGCTGTGCCTTTCCAGAGGATTATGATTTAATGTCTGTAAAGCTCTCTTATCATTCAGATGTTCTAGTCGTTTACATCTCCTTATGGCTGGTAGACCTGATGATGTAATTGCTTCATATCTTTGCAGTTTTCGTTATTAATGTAATTGTTGGGGTTGAATGTTATGCATTCTTCATTAGTAAAATCTATCAGGATATTTGAGAAAAATAATTCATCTGTAGAAACATTCTATGGATTTAGATAAATACAAAATGCTTTTGTTATTATAGATTTTTCATTATTTATCTACCATTTGCTTTTGTAACCAATATTTTAAAAAAGAATCGTCAATCTTAAATGACTAAGATAGTGACTGACTATTAACTAATTTCCAACAAGCATGAATCGTTGATTAATTCCTATCAATACTATCCAGTTGTGAAGCTGGAATTAATTGTAAGCCCCAAGCAACTATAGCAAAGAGGTCAAATACAATTACTATATAGGGGCAGTCATTAGGACAACAGGAGTTAACAGTCATGACAAAGACTGGTTGGTCTAATGCAGATATATTTAAGAATAATGCTCTGAACCACTTTTTAAAACTACTGGTACTGTGGTGCTGGGAGAATAAGGAAACTGATGGCCAAAGAAGACATATTCCATTGATCTTAGTGACTGGAATGAAGAGCACAACATTATATTGTCTTTTATCTAAATATTTCTCATATTTTTCATCTCATGGATGTAGGCTTTTTTGGTCCTTTCCAACCAATCTGATTAAAATCAGATCTCTGCTGTCCTACGTGAAGATCTGAAAATGACCGCTTACGGGTAAAGTTCTTGTACATTAGCCGATGGAAATGCAGCTTTACAAAATCTGAATGTGAGTCAATCATTCGGTACACATTCATACTATTCATCCACACTGCTGTCTCCAAATGCAAAGATATAAGACATAATCTGATTAGTTGATAAAATTAGTGAGTATGGTAGGAATTAGGTTAAGAGAACATGATCACTAAGCAGTCACTGTCTGACATAACAGTGGAGACCTAAATTTAATCAGATTGCCTTCAAACTAAACTATGTACAAATTTTTGTAAGACTGCATGACAATCTTAAAAGGTATGATGTTTGCTCACTTGCATGTTAAGGCATATGTGTCGTCATCAAGTCCAACAAACTTGCAATCTGCAATCAAAAAGTCTAGATGAATTCTCTTAAGGTTGTGAATCCAACAATGGATGATCCATAGCTTAAGTTTATGATAAAAATTGTCTGTGCACATGGCTTTTCTAGCCAGAATAGTTCAAAAGACAAAGTCACATTTGCATGAACAATTGTGAGCAGGCCATCAAATGGTCCATCAGTATGAACACAGACTAATTGAGACCATGTGCAAGGCTGCTGATATGGACCAAATACCATACTTGGACCATGTGAAATGTTATGAAATAAAGAAAAACAATGGAACACACATGCCTCTTTTATTTTATGGTATTATTTTTTTTTTTCAACACTGTTTATTATGATAATATGAGCTCCGAACATTTCCCAAAATGTAGATATATGACATGGTTTTGAAATAATCATGAAGTTCACATCATTCCAGTTTCATTGTTGAGTATGCAAGGTTTATTATATAATACAATATATACCATAAACATAAATTTTACATAAATCTAATAAAATAACTAATATAGTCCAACTGCTCCAGTGGCCTAATGGTTAGAGCGTTAGCCTCAGATTCGAGAGGTCGTGGGTTTGATCCCCAGTCAAGTCATACCAAAAGCTTACAAAAATGGTACTAACAGCTGCCTTGCTTGATGCTTAGCATTAAGAGGTTAGTGTTCGGACTGGTCAGCCTGGTGTCAGAATAATGTGACTGGGTGAGACATCATGCTACATGTCTATGGTGTGATGCCTCAGTGCTAGACATTAATATAAACTGCCACACTGCAAACATCGTAGCGATACGAATGAAAAATTGTTAAAGCTATGTTAAAAATCATAATCACATCACACATCACTAATATATTCAGAAAAATAAATATATATATATATATATATATATATATATATATATATATATATATATATATATATATATATATATATACATATATATATATCAGGCCTCTGACCTCTGACCACGAGGGTAACCACCCGATCTTCTCACTATGAGGGGTAATCCTTCCTCTGACCATTAGGATAATCTGAACAATTTTTACTTTATCATCATATATTTTGGTTTATATGCAAATACTTCTTATCATGCATTTTACTATAAGTGTAAACTTCCACAATCTATCCATGCATCATCTGTATCAAACCACGAGAAATTTCTGCATGTTCTTTCTAGTTATTGGATAACCAGACAAGTGTGCATGTTATTATACATGTGCGTAAATGCAGTGAGTAAACATTTAATGAACCATCTCAAAACATTTTATTGTAATACCCAGTAATGATATCATACAGACAAGTCTCCTGTTAGAGAAAGTGAATTAATAGCATTATATGTAGCACATACAGAAAAAACATAAGGGTATCCAAATTCACATATTTATCTCTTCTCAGACATTAACTTGGAAAAGCTATCAGAAACATATGAAAGGATGTCAACAATGTTTTAAGATTTTACTGTGATGACTCAAACAACAGTAATTTTATATATTAACCAATTAATTATCCATTTTTGTCAGGATTTTGAGATAGAAATAATTCTTTCTTATGACACCTTTGTTCAGTGAACTTTAACTGAGGTTTTAAATTAGTTTTCCTCATAAAATTAATCAGTCCAAGATTTTCTGCCAAGGAAGAAAGTTTGAACAAAAATTAATAAGTACATGTAATTTCTTTCATTAAACATATTGTAGAAAGGACAAGAGGTCTAGAGACATGTATCCATATAAGGACAGCAAGAATTCTCTGATGATAAATGAGTGTGATATCTGGAAAATGAAGGTTAGTCTTGGTTATATATATGATGTGTTCACTAATCTAAGTTTTTAATTATTGTCAAATTTATTCATTTTAAATTCCTACTTCAATTTTTCCTCGAGTTCAGAAATAATAGTGCATGTCATGATTAATGTGTGTAAGAATATCATACAATATTTCATTAAATAAATGAGTTTGGATTTAGCTGTTTGTATGTACTAGAAATCAGTATTTCCTTAAGGAGTTAAGTCCATTAATTCATGCGTACATTACTTAAGTTATGAATTCTGTCCCACACTGAATTGATGGTGTAGCATCAGAAACATGTTAATTGATAGGTTATCTGGTAAATTTATGGCCACAGCAGGGAAACAGAAAGGGCTAATTATGTCATGGCTCTCAATCTGGAAGGCATTGGCCACTAACCTTACATCCGATTATGATAAAAGATTGTGTATTATTGTGAATGACCAATTCTGCTGAGTTCAATAAATGATATCTGACAAAAGGAGTGGGAATATCTGTTGATCTCAGGTAAAGGGAAAAACCTGACTGTATTTAAATTGGTTATATTTTTTTTAAAAGGAAGAACAAGATAGCTTTATACAGACTGTACAGAGAAAAACATTAGTGCAGACTATAACCAAGAAGTTCTTTACCCAATCAGGCTAAAAAGGAGAAAGAGATAATAAAAGCAACGGAAATGCTGATCGACCAGCAGCAATTGGGAAAGGATCGGAAGCAACATGCGATGCTGTCATGTTGGTAATCTAAGTTCAGTCTATCACATGATCATGTGATGAAATATGTTCTATCAAGAACAAAATTGCTAAATGAATTTTGCATAGTTTGTAACTCTATTTCTGAGAGAAAGTGAATCATTTAGATGTCATGTTTTGATATAATTTTGTTTATGTAATTGATTAAATTATTATATTTTACATTTGGGGGCTTATGTTATTCTATTCTATATCTTTGCTCAAATCTTTGTTACACCATCCATTAATTTCATACTGTATGTTATTAATTACTTGATCTTGGCAATATGGTCAATCACCTCCTAGATAATAATAGCCAAAAACCATAAGGAGTGGGAGAGATCAATTTCAAACATCTTCACCACCCATGACAGAAAATCAAATATTCACAAAGTTTTCATCCCTGCTACAAAAATTAAAATAAAACTTGTATAGTACAGATTAATAGATGCACATATAGTTGTAGCTAATTCTGCTGATATTTAAATTGCTTCAATACCAATGGATTCAGATTTTTTAAAATAGAAATATTGCACGTGACTGGTTGTTTCTCTCTGGTTTCACATGGAACTATCTGATCTGACATGTCAAAAGAATAAATTCATGAAGGGAAATATCACACAAGACCAATGTGGATAAACATTAGAAACACTGCTGAATATAAGTGGAACCTCCAATAACTGCAAATAAAAAACCCTGTCAATAATGACTCATGTATCACAAGTATGTGCAGATATACAGCTCAGATGTCCAAATACCCCAAACCCACTATAACTGTACAAATATTTCTCAGTAAAATAAATTATTTATTTTTGCAAAAAGATGAAGCAATTGAATTGAAAATATTTTCCTATTAAACTAGAATCGATCCAAGATAACCTCCACAAAGCATTCTAATGTGCATTGCTAAACTTCTTTTCAACTGAAAATTTTGCCACAAACTGAGTACTTTTGTTGTTCTCCATATATGCCTCTACAAAGGACTAATTTTGTAAAACTGAACATCATTAAGATTACATTTTAATGGCTTTCCTCCAGAATGCAGCTTCATATGAAGTTTGTTTTTTGCAGTCTATACATTTTCACAAAGGATATATTTTATTGCATTTTCTCCAGAATGTACCATCATTTGCACACTTAGTCTTCTACTCTGAATAAACCTTTTATCACAAACTTCACATCTATAAAGGTTTTCTCCTGAATGTTGTTAGACATCCTAATAAACTGTTTGTCACAAACTTCAGCTATATGGTTATTCTCCAGTATGTAATCTCATATGCTATTTCAACTTACTACTCTCAACAAACATTGTATCACAAATATCACATTTACATGTTTATTTCTCAAGTATATATCATTATATACTTTTTCAAATGACTGCGTTCACAAAACATGTTCTCACAGTACATTTCACATTATTTCCTGTATGTATCCTAATGTGCCACTTTAAATCTGCACTCTGGTTAAAAATTTTATTTCAAAATTCACACTTGAACAGTTTTTCTCCAGAATGTACCTTCATGTGTGCCACAACTTCTAGAGCTTTAATGACAAACTTTACACTTGTATGGTTTTTCCTCAGTTTGTAACCTTGTGTGTGCCTCCAAGTGACCAAACATTTTATTACAAACTTAGCACTTGTATGGCTTTTCTCCAGTATCATTGTGTGCCTTTTCAAATCTGCACTAGGAATAAACCTTTTAATGCAAAATTCATATTTGAATAGTTTTTCTCCACTATCTTATGTGTTGTCAAACTGCACTCTAAGCAAACAATTTATCACAAACTTCACACCTGTATGTCTTTTCTACAGCAAGTAGCCTTACATTCTCCATTAACTTCCTACTATCATGAAACATTTTTTAGAAATGTTACTTTTGCATGTGTTTTTCTCCAGCATGTATAATTATATGCTTCTTCAACTGTGCTCACACAAAGGTTTATGTTTTTCTCAGGTGTCTAACTTCTTTTTGTGCCGCTTCCCATCTGCACTCTGATTAAACATTCTGATGGACAGTTACTTGAGTCAAGCATTAAGGTTACACCCCAGTCCTATTATGTGTGATGAAGGAATGGTGTTGGGGGTGACATGTCTCTGTCTGGTCATGTTTGGCCTAAGGTAATCAGACATATCATTTCATGAAAATAAATATCATAACTGACTTCAGTATTTCCCGGCTACTACATATCAACCAATTAAAATGGCACCCAACAGAGCTGGAAAAACTTGTCCACTTAGATACTACTTGGACATTTTCAGTAAGAAAAAAAGGCATCACAGAAACTATTGCATGCATTAAAAGTAATGGATTAAGGACTTCAGGGCCCTAATTACTGAAAATATTATGGTGTCCCCCTCCCTCCCAATTTGAAACTACCCCACCCCACCCCAACCCCAAAGCAATATTGAAAACTTCTGCCATTATTCCAAATCAAAATACTCATAAATGCTGATTGAAATGCTCACATATTGAAACATTGTCTTAAAACAAGGTGAACTACACCTTTGGTGACAGTACAAGCTAACATTTATTTTGAATTTTTCAAACAACCTTATTTGTTTAAAGAAAAACTGAAAAAAATGTCATATTCTCTTTTTCTTCAATTCTATAAATCCTGCAACAAATCCTGTGATGCAGAATGTTTACAGAGAACATTAAAATAATATGTCAACATATTTTACACATCAACATGTTCTCCAATACATCGACATGTTAACACATTAGGGAAAAGCTTACAAAGTCAAATCGTACTGTTGCAGTAGTGGATCTATCACAGATAAAAGGAACTCCTCAGAATGAAGTGACAGTGTTTGATCTATTGTTGGGAAAGGTTTCGGTTTTATATAAGAAGACAAAGGATGTATTTTTGAAAATATATATAGAACAAGATGGCAGAATTGTTTGGAGTCAAAGGACAAGTGCATGGACGTCATCCATCTGACTATAAGTTGGAAGATATCAATGGAGAAGCACTAAAAGGATATTTTTACTTGTCAGGGGCATTATAATTGACAAAGAAAGACTATGATGGGTATGTTATTGAAAGCATTCAGAATCAAATAAAACATGTAAACTGGGAG